TTTTGTTAACGGAGCGGTAAAAGGTTTCTTTGTCTCTATGGCCACCTGATTATTTTAAAGGAAGTTTTAATTCCATCTTGGGTTGCTAAGAGGACAAAAAAAAAAAAAAAAAAAAAAGAGTTGCTTCTAATTTTTTTTTTCTGTTAATGACGTGAGGAAATTTCTTCCAAAGAGGAATGTAGAAGCTCGTATGTTATTGATACCTTTAAGCTGAAGCTTCCTATTTTCATACTTCATTTGATCTTAGCAGATGTTCATTGCGCTTGCTTCACTACTTTATTGTTTAAAGGCCATGATAAACTTTTTATATTTAAGAGTAGATGGTTCAGTACTGTGCTTTATAAATTGCTAGAGCATTTTAGGCAAAGCATTATGACTGCTTGCGTGATATGTTATTTAGTGAGTGTATCTTATATCTTGGCTGACTGAATCTACATAGAGTAAATTACCTTGGGTTCATTTTCCTTGGTTCTCTGCAAATGCTTCTTTACATTTATAGATATTAAAATAAGATAAAAAAGTAAGCTTTTAAAATTAAATGAGTGTAAGGTAAATAGAATTTCTGAAGCGACTCTAATGGATTTTCATGCAGTGCTGTTTATCTTAATGGCAGCGGAAGGGAAAATTTTGTGTCTGGTGTTTTCAGAGTGTTGGACAAGTCCATTTCCTCCTTAACTGTTCTAGACACCTGATGGCAGTTCAGATGGATGCCCTTATTTTCCTATCAGTGCAGAAGCAGTACTTGAAGGTATGCTGTTTCTGCTTGAAATGCGGAATAAGGGAAAGGGATCCCGTGGCTTTTGAAAATCTTATCAATCCATCGAGATTCAAATGCTGCCCTCTTAATTCCATCTCAGTGCAATGCTAATCCTGACTCTCAGGTGTTTGGATAAGCAGTTTCTCTGTGTAGACCCTGTTTTGTCATGAACTGATTTCAGGTCTTGTTCCTAATTCGGATGCGTCTTTGGATGTTACAGTTTATCCTGAAAAGTTTGATTGACTTTATGCTCCTTGCAAGTGACTGGGCCTCAGTTGCACAGTGAATTTCCAAGTCCACTTGACTAGCTTTAAGCCTGGCTTCTTTTTTTTTAGTGTCTGTGTGAGCTCATCAGGAGCCCTGGAAGAAACAATTCTTAGGAGAATATATTTGAGGGATAGTTGTAAAAGCCTTTGAAATCCTTCAGAATGAAAGCATGTATTTTGGATTAAGGTCCAGTATAAAGAATATCAGCGTCACTGTTAATAATGTTATCAACGGTGTGTGTGTTCAAAAGATGTGAAGTCCTGCTCTTCTACTTTGGAATTGGCACTTCTGTTTGAAAGCACAGCATGTTGTCAGCTACAGATCCCGTATCAGGAAGTGAGGTGCAAATATTGAGATAAGTATGGAAACACTAAAAAAAAAAAAAAAAAAAAAAGCCTTTCAGTTGAGTTCACCAGTTCTCTAGAGGGACAGTGCTGGGTAGAGAAGCTGTTTACCTGAACCATCTGCCTCAGTCTGAATCTGTTAGCATCTTACAAATCTTCTTCCCTTCAGTTTAGCCCAACGACTGCTGTTACTGTTGTTTCTGTGCTGGAATTGAGCAAGTGTGCTAGTTGGTGCTAGCTACTGTATGGACATATGCTGGGAAAGGAAGAGAAGGAAGTTTTTAATAAAGTTGAATAAAATTGGTAAAGCTACTGATTTTATTTTCTCACCTTGCTTTTTGTTTATTCAGTTCAAAAGGATCTTGTATTTGAAAATAAGAATATTTTTTTTCTGCAGATATTATGGTGTTAGTCCTAGAAACGCCAACACTATGCATGTGTGTGCGCATGTTTATGTTTGTACAAATGTGGACAAGGTCCTTGATTTCAAGGTTCATGAAGTAAAGAATTGGCACAAATATCCCCATGTTCTTCACTTAGGCTTATGGGTCACCACCATTTATTGTTTAAATTACTTTGCTGATGGATTGAGATGAAAATGTTTTCTTAGTGAAGGCAGATATTGTAGTTCAGATTTATTGCGACATTAGAGCTTTAAAAAAAGCATATGCCCTGTGTGGTATATTACATTAGCTGGCTACTCTATCACTTGAAAGCACTTCATAATCTATAGTTTCTAAATTTTCCCATGATGTGCAGTTGAGATAAAATGCAGTAATATTGATGTGATATCCTGAACTTACGATCGGTGTACTGCATCAGAAGTAATGTGACCTGTTCAAAGTAAGGGAATGTAAACAACACATGTTTATCTGTAGTATTCACATTGATTTTTGTGTTTTTATTTTTAAGGAAAACATTCATGTTAGTCCAAAGTAAGGAAACTGTGGGACCTAGGGAAAGCAGCAGGACAGCAGACAGTGGGAGAAAAGTGGAGCTAACGTTTAGTTTTTGTAAAAAGAGTATTTAGATGTTCCTCTCAGCTGAATTTTCCATGTTCTCTCCTGTGTTGGTTTAGATGACTTATCACAGACCCATTTCTGTTCTGTGTATGAGAACCCAGCCAGAGACTTTCCATACATCTCAGCCTGCACAGTTTGGCCATTCTCTTTTTATCCCAATTCTGTTGTTTTGTCACAGATAAGAGGGATGGAAGAATTCAGTGCTCTTCTTGCAAGAGTTCTGTAGTGATGTTTATTTTGGCTTGGTGGATAGTGGAAGTGCTTCTGTGGTTAAAAGTATGAGTTTGGATTTTGGAGAAGCAGACTCTAGTTTACTTCTTGACTCTTGCTCTGTGTCCATTTGCTTGATCAGTGAAGTAGGGTTACATCAACTTCTTGTGACACACAGTGTGTTTCTGTGAAGAGTGACCTGTAAGTTTGATGCTTCAAAGAGCCTTCAGCACCTGCAACTGCCAACATGAAAGGATATAAGACCAAAAATTAGAAATGAATTTTCTATAATATTTCTTCTCTGTGATCAGGACAATTTTTTTCACTTGTGGCTGAGGCTTATTTATTTATTTATGTATTTATTTTAGACTGTTTTTCAAGAGGTCCATCCCCTTTAAATGTTAGTTCTGAGGTTCCTTCAGTGTCACTGGGGAGGAATAGACTACCTCCTTTTGGGGCATTATGCTAAAATTTAAGGTATGTCGATATGGGGAAGTTACTGGCAGTATGGGAGTTGAGGAAGTAGTAATCAGTTATAAGTAACTCTTGGCTTAGCTGTCCTTATCCTTAAATGATTCCGGAATTGAACTTATAATAAAAACATCCATTTGTTTGGAAGACATAAAGAAAAGAAAACTCTAAAGCTGCCTGAAGTGTTTGTCTTTAGATTTTAGTTTACATATTATGCTATTTTTGAATGTACAGCATTGGATCATTTAGCACTAGGAAATCACAGCCAGACTAGAAAGGCATTTCTACCATATAGGTGTTACTGGGAGATGCTATAAAAACCTTTTACCACGCATTTAACATAGAAAGGCCTGAGGGGTTTTTTCCCTTCTTTTTTCGCGTGACAAATGTCACGAAGATTTCTCTTTCTTAAATAAAATTAACTTGTAGGAGCAGATTTTGATTTTCGTATAAGTTGTCTCAACTTACATTGAGATTCTTTAGATGCATGCCTGGGATCTTAAAACATGATCTTAAAACTGTATGAAATATTAGTTAAACCAATAAGTTTGTCATGTGACTGCCATTATATCTTTGTAAGTGTTCCTCAATACTGATAGAAGTATTAGTCTGTAAGGAGTGGGATAAATGCCAACATATGGCACCCTTACAGTGATATACTGGAGAGATAAATGCTATTAACTGTACAAAAAACTTCACCATGAGTGATGTCCTGCCTAAAGAAGCACGTGTGATCCATCGTTCTGGCCTCTTGCAGCAGTGACCTCAGGCTCATCCTTTGAGGTCCTGAGCATCTCCCCCAAAGGGAGCTTTGTGCACACCCCCTGCTCAGTGTGTACACCACTAGGGAAGCTCTGGGATGATGATGTTCCTTTCCCTGATGCTGGAGTCTGACTCATCTGTAGCTCTCCTTGGCCACGTTCACAGTAAGCTCCATAAAGTGATGAGCAGGATTTTTCTAAAGAGGCTTTATGCTTTTCACAGGAATGGCTGTGTGACTGTATGCTAATTGTTGTCCTTTGTTGGGAATCTGGTGTGCCTTTTGCCACCAAATCTGTTTTAGTACAGCTTCTGCATCTTTGACAGTGAAAATGAAGATTTCATCTTCGTTACAATCTGTTTTTCTGACTGATACAGAGCAGCCTGTGTGGCGTGTTTGTATTTAATATTTTTTGCAGTTTAAAGCCTGAGTCATTGAAGGCCAAGTTTGCTGCGTGCGTTATGCTCCTATGCTCCCACCTCACCTCTCCGCTACTGCTGGATCGTGGACAGCAAAAGATGGCACTGGATTCTTGCTGGTTGCTAGGGAAAACTTTTTATTCCTAGGTAGCTAAGGTGAGCTCGGGCTGAGCTGTAGCAGTGCAATTGCTGCCCATGTCTAGGCTATGCGGAGTAGATTTAGCGTCTCCATCTAGTTCTCAGTGGACAGGAGGCTGTTGTGAACAGCCTGCTATGGTGTTCACAGCACAGAGTATGGGTTGGCCATGACACGAATCCTGCCCTCCAAGACAAAATTAAAGCGTGCAGTTGGCGATTATAAACTCTCTTGTATTGCTTTTATGGATGCCTCAGGTCAAACTTGCCAGTCTAGCTCTTCTAACCAGAGTAAATTCTGTAAATGTGTTTTGCTTCACCATCTGTCACTGTCCAGTTTCAGTGTAGCAGAATCCTAACCATAATTCCTAAAAGTCTTGAAAATGCCTGTGTGTGCAAGGAAAAAGCAAATTATGCATGAAATGTGTAGTGTTGCTGTGTTTGAACAATGCAATCTGTAGGTGGCTAAAGGGCTAACTAAATTGCAGGCGTAATGAAAGCTCTGTGGTATTTAGTATATGTTCTGTCAGCATTAAACAGTCACCTTGTAAATATATGTTAATTCTGAAGGTGTAACTGACCTTTTTAATATTAATTGAAATGTCTCATGTTTAGAGGTTGGAGCTATCCTAGAAGAGACAGAAGCCTGTGACTGGTGGAGCCTGGGTGCCATTCTTTTTGAACTGCTCACAGGGAAGGTAGGGGACAAGCTGCATTATAAAACAGGCATGCTGGCCAATAGTTTCTCACAAGTGGTTTGCCCAGTTTTGATTTTCTTCTTTCTTGTACGCAGATGTATGTCTTTGTATAGCGGAGTATCCTTGATCTGCTATGTCTTCGTGGCCAGAGAAATTAAGCATGCTCAAGCTTCAGAATAACTTCATAAAGTTGCATCAAGTTCAGGACTGAAAAAATAGCCAAAACCAATGCTGTTCTCTCAACCTCAGTAAAATCGAAGCTCTCTGATATCCCTCCTGAACATTTAATACTTTTTTTGCCCTGACAGATATCTTTGTTTCAGCACTATTCTCTGGGATAGCCTAAATGTTGTGTGTTGCAGTGACATATTAATTCAAGCCTGAGCAGACTCTCTTGATGGATTGCCTGCACTGGGAGGTCTCACACTGGTGTGGTGATGCAAAATTATCTTACATTGAGACAGGAAGATACCAGCACCTCTAAGGAATGCTGATTTCAGTATGTGAAGACAGGGTGCTCAGCCAAATTGAAAAATAGTGGCTATTTGGCAGTTCCATGTGAAGAAAGCGAAGTTCACCAAACTCCAAAACTTTTCAAGTTTGAGCAATAGAGAAAGAGCATTATGATGTAAATGTTCTAATGGCAAATCTCTAGGGGTACTTCAGTATCTGTAGTGGTTCCCTTCAGAACCAATATTTCAAACTAGGAAGCACTGACATTTTAGCCGTGTGTGTTAACTGACATGTATACTAGAAGATAATCCAGCACTACATTTTTTTGAGTTAATAAATGTATCTGACTTTTTTTCCAGACCCTGGTCGAGTGCCATCCATCAGGAATAAACACTCATACTTCTTTAAGTATACCAGACCATGTATCAAAGGAAGCCAGGTCGCTGATTCAGCAGGTGACTGCGGGGGAAAAGTTATTTTCTATGGGTACATGTGCAGTCTAGATGAATACTTATATACCTGAGCTGTTCTTGTGGAAATTATTGTAAAAAGAAAAAGCTGCTGATAGGAATGTGGATGGGTCTTTTGTCAGCAACTGATGATTTTTGCCTGACTGGTTTGTTGCATCTGGAAACTAGACTTCTGCTTCCTGGTGCTTCACAGAAGCATAAAAACAGAGTGCTCTGCTGTTTCTCCAAAAAACAAGTTTGGTCAATATTGGGTGCTTTGGCAACACCTATTGGTGATACGTGGCCATTTTAGGAATTCTGTCCTAGCTGTTATTGGAAATGTTTGTGATGAAGTGAATTAAACTCGAAAATATTGAAGCCAATCAAACAAGATGGCTCAAAGTGCCATGAAACTCGTAAGACAATGATTTGAAGTGTCAACCACTTGTTGAAAATCGAGTTGAAAATTTGCTGTGCTTCAGGAAATCCTGGGTGAAGGACTTCCAAATGTGAATAGTCTGACTTCTGTAAGAGGAAGATAACTGTTAGGTTAGGCAAAAAGCTAAATGGGAAACTTTAAAATACAGACAAACTTCCAGAGTGCTATACCACATATTTTCAAACTAATTAGATTTAAATTGTCACAACTGAGGAAAATAAATAACTTGTCTGTGTAGAGTCTTGAATTTCAGGTAACACTGTCTTCCTTCCTGTAGTTAATTTTGACCTATCTGTGCAAGTGGGGCCTGGATCAGACCTATTCCATTTGAGCTGAGTAAATAATAGGCGTAAGCTGTGGTGTTCAGCTTTGAGTGGAGAGTATCTGGCTAGTGAATATGTACAAAATGACATCTCTTAAATGAAGATCTGAACGGAAAAAAATAGTTTCTGAAGAAAATGAAGGAAGGACTTTTTGAATATTCAGCAAGTCAAAAGCCCTAGTGACTGTTAGTGCACTGCACTGTTAGTGTTGAATGATGAGTGGACAGGCAACCCGAAGTTTGAACCTCCAGATTTGAAAGTGCTTTCACATGCATTTCTGTGTTTCTGGCAAGGATAGGAAGGGGAGTGATGAAAGAAAAATCCCATTTTTGTTGAACCTGCATTTATTTTGTTAGATGGTGGCAAACTTTTGCCCTCACCTACAAGTGCAGCGTGACCTAAATGGATAAAGAAAAGCAATACCAGCTCAATGAAGGGAATTCTTCCCTTCTACTACTGAAAATGAAGACAAACAAAGTCATCCAGTTCACTTTTCCCTGCCAATACAGGATTGTTCTGTGCAGACTAATGTGTTGCCTGCTTTCATATATGCCAAAGAGTGGCTTTTTTGCCACTTGGAATGTAAGTGGAAGAGATACATCTGTCACTTTCAGATATATTGCAAGACCATAATCTGTTCAGAGGACAGTCGCCCTAGTTGCCTGTTAGGTTAAGCCTTCTGATGCAGGCTGGTGACGTGTCAGGTGGAGGTTCAGCTCTATGAGCTAGTAAATCACATTTTTGTTGTGTGACTATCCAAGGAAGCTGCCATTCATTTGTTGAGGAAGCCTTGTCAGGAAAAGGAAGAAAGCTCTCTTGGCATGGATAGCAATTTGTCACTGCGACTTTCCTTCCCTACACTGCCAAGGTCAAAGCATCACAGAATAACTCTCTGGGCTGAGTGTTCAGCTACACAGAGTTACAGTTCAGCAGAAGGCAGAGGGACAGTGGCAGCTTGTGCTGTCTTGTGGAAGATCTCAGAGCAGCACCATTCACTGTCACCAAGTTACCTTTACTATGTGACATTACAATTGCAAATAGCAAAGCTATCTTAGAATGTGTAAATTCATGTGTTTATTGAAGTAGACTCACTTAGATGTTGAGTGCATAAAGATATGAGTACATGTTGTTCCAGGAGACAACTGGGAGAAGTTATCCTATTAGCTATTGCAGAAAGAGCAAGAAAGAAATCGTGCCTTTGTACTCAGTGTAATTGAATAGAGGATAAACAATTCTCTGGAAGTGCAAAATATTTTTGTGTGTCTTTATTAATATCTTCAGAGTGTTACCTTTGCATTCCCTTTTATGTGGATTGATATCTTTAAACAGATGTAAATATTGTGATTTCCTTTGCACATGAATTCAGCATGTGATGTACAACTAGAAAGGGAATGAGGTGCTGAATCTCAGGAAATTTCCATGGAGCCCTTATGCTGTTGTTTTGTTTGTTTTGTTTTCTTTTTTAACCGCTGGGATTTTGATTATTCAATCTTAATGCATTTGTAGAACTCTTCAAAACTTTTTTTTATTTTATTTTATTTAAAGAAACAGAGACCTGACTGCCATATTTTAGGAACAACTGGCAACTCATGAAATGGAAAGTTACAGACCAGCGTCCCTGATGTAGCCTTATTGCAGTGGTGTGAGCAAAGGTTAACATGAAGCAAATGCAGTGGCCAGAGTTCTACAGATGTAGGCTCTGGCTGCTGTTCTCTTTTTGAAAACGAGGTTATGCTTAAAATGAAGTCCCAGTGTACAGTGCTTCAGGGTATTGCATGCTGTGATCAGTACTCTCTGAAGACTGTATCACTGAGACTCAAGGAAAAGAGAGTCTTCCATTTACTGCATTTTAGGAATTTCAAGTATGCTTCACACTCTTGAAAGTAACTCAAAGAGCAGGAAAACGGTGGGATATCCTTTACCTTAGACCTTTACCGAACTTTTAAGCTGTTGTTTCTGTTCTTACTCACTGAATCATATATATATATATATTTTTTTTTTTATATCAAGCTTTTGCAGTTTAATCCTGCGGAGCGTCTTGGTGCTGGCGTTGCTGGTGTTGAAGACATCAAATCCCATCCATTTTTTGCCCTCATAGAATGGGCAGATCTGGTGAAATGAGAGATGCGCTCGCCCTCGGAACAAACTCAGGTCAAGTGGACAATTTTCTCTGGCACAGAACAACACCAACTTTCTTCCTTCGGGTGTCCCAAATCCTTGGACGTTCTAACTGAAGGACGCTGGACCAATCATGCCAAAAGCAAACACTTTTAACAGGACTCACCATTGTGCAGGGTGCTAGCTTGTTTTTACGGCAACTGGCTGCTATGTGTGTGTAAGTCTTTTCACCAAAGGGTGATTTGTGATGAAACTGCTGCCTAGCATGCTTCACGCTGCCAGACTGTCAACGAAGTGACAGTGCCCTCCTGGTGCTTTGTCTGGTGATGGAAGCGTCTGTAGAGTGTGCCAGTTGAAAATATCTTTTATACTGTATGTCAGTAGACCATTTCCCTATGCTAAGTGCAGCTGGAGGAGGGAGGGGAACAAATAATTTATTAATGGTATATGCTGAATGAAATACTAAAATGCTTTCTGCAAAACTTGACACATTAAAAATAGTATATCCATTAAAAAGTAAGAAAGCTGTTGCATAATACTGTGGAATGTGTCTTGAAAATGGCATATCACTTCAAATAGTGGAAAGAGCATATAAAAGGCAAATAATGCTGTCAAATGTTGTACTTTGTTGGCTGGCACTGTCTGTTTAAAACTCTTGACTCTGTTATATTTGATGAGCTACGTGTTAACGTCACTACCGAAAGGGAGACCTTTCCCTCAGCCAGATAAACACTGCTTTTGCAACTTGATAAGGAGCAAGAAGACACAGTGCTAAATAAATGTATAGATTACAAAAGGAAAAGCTCTTCTCTTTGTCATTGTAGCCACTACTTAGCACTTAATGAACTTCACTTCCTCTAAGTGTCCTATTTTTAACTATTTCTTCAGGAAAAACCCTTTCTTCTTGTTTTCTGCTTGAGGAAGCTTCTGAACTTTCTATTTGTTAATGATCTGAATAAATCAAAGAAAGCCTTCACCCACTCTGCTGCTCGAGCAGGAAGGAGCCTGGGCTTTGCTCGCACTGAGTGACTTGGTGTCATCTCTGAGCAAACCCTGGAGCGAGCCAGCTAGCTGACCTGTTTGCTTGTTGGTAAGGTCCAGAGAATGGGAGAAGGACACAAGGGATGCAGAATATTGTGCTGTGGTTGCTGCTAATCAGCCATGCATGTACAGGTTCCCGATGTACAAACACTGCACACTGTAATGTTGTACAGATTATGGATCTGTGTTCTTTTCTAAATGTTCCCTTTGCTCTCTCTCTGTTGTTTGTTTTTTTTTTTTTACAAAAAAAACAACAAAACTTCTCCCCAGCTTTATCCGGAGAACAAAGACCAGACTCCTTTGGGAAAATGAGGTGACAGCAATGATTTTTGAATTGACTTTTTTTGGGGGGGGGGGAAGTTGTATCCTTCCATTTGTATTTTAGCAGCGTGTTTTATGAGCATTCCCCAAAGTGCATCTGCACAGTCTCCATCTGTTAGACACCAGGTTGGTGTATTGAAATAAAGTGGAAAAGGAAAATGCTTCACTTAAACAAAGGAAATCTGGAAACTTTTTTTTTCCTTTTAAAATTATTCCACTCCCCTCTTTTTTTGTTTCTTCCCTTTCTTGTGATCACCAGGCCAGCAGAGGGGCTGTAACAACACTGCAGGTTGTAACCAGGTCATTGGTATCACCGCCTACGGAGCACTGTCCAAGATTACATCACTCTCAGAAACTGTGCTTCAACCTACCACCCTCTGGCTTCATAACAGGAACTCCCTCAGGTGAGCCACAGGAACGACTTCCTGCGCCGACAGGGTAGGAAATCTCTAATGCAGAATCCGAGCTGATGCAGAGCTTCCTTCCAGTGCTGCCCCGGCTGTGACTCTGGAGGGCTCATTGCTCAGGGGAGGCCTCCATCCCTCTGCCACCTGCCTCCATCCCGGCAGCTCTGCCTGCTGGTACCACCCCGTCGTATTGTCGGTTCCATTCGCCTGTCCCACTGTGTTTGCCTGGCAATAACTGTTTTTAAAAAAAAAAAAGTAAAGGGTTTTTCCATGTTAACTTAAAACATTTTCTTGTTCAGATTGTGCCAGTGTTGGTTATAGGTGAAAGCAGTGTGAGCAAGCACAGCAGGACAAGCAGCAGAAGGAAAACGCTCCTCTAGCAGGAACCAAACAACCGGTGATTCTCACTGATTTGGTTTTAGTAATGACACAATGAAATATTTCTTTTTCAAGTGCAGCGTTGAGTTATGAGGAAGTGTAGATGAGAAGGAACAGGACATTTGATAGGACAGTTTGCTGTAACTGCGCCTTTGCGATGCTGCTGTTATTCATAACTTTACCACAGCTTCAGATAATGATTTTGCTAAAGAAAGCACAATCTGGAGCTAATGGCACATGAAAAATCTTGGTTTTATATACAGATAGATAGGTGGTGGATTCTATTTATTTGTTGATATTTACATATTATATTTCCTTTGTACCTAATCAATGGCTTAAATGACTTGGGAAAATATTCTGTGTTATCTTCTCTCTGGTTCTTGTTATGAGGCCCTGTGGTGCACATCTCTGTTTTGCTGACTGCTGAGGAATGCAGCATCCATTCCACCTTCTGTTACACCTAACAGCTGATAGCAAAGTAAACCTGCCAGTTTGTTCACAGAAATTCCTGTGAGATGATGTCGTACAGTAAAATAGACATAGATTTTCCTCATCTATACAGGCAAAGCAGATGACGGGCTTTGGATGTCTGGAAGTGATAATTCCTTGCACCCCATTGAACCACTCCATTATGTTTTCGTCTCCTACTGAAAAAACCTCAAAGAGAAAATATATGAAGTGACCTTCTCTTTCTTTTTGGTTTTCTGTGACCTCCTCCTTTTTTCTGATCACTCCGTCTCCAGCCTCTTGTTCACTGACCTTCTTTGACCTTCTAAGACCATCTTTTCTCTGACCTTTTCCTCTCCCCTCTGCTCCTGTCTTCACTTTTAAATCTCTTCCCTGCTCTTCTTGACTGTCTGCAGCCTGCTGTCACCTTTTTTTTGACCCTCCTTGACCTTCTCTGCTTTTCTTGGATCTTCTCTGACCTTCTCTTGTCTTCTTGGGCTGCTTCCTTCTCACCTCCTCTTCTTGATCTTCTCTCTGTCCTTCTCTGGTTGTCTGCTCGTCTCTGACCTTCTTTTTCCCTGTATTGTCCAATGTTCTCTTTGCGGACTTCTGACACCCATGAGTATCTTTCCTTGGACCATCCCTTCTCCCATTTTCATTTTTAAACACCTTTATCTTTGCTCTGCTCATCTCTGCTCTGCTCTTCTGACAGACCCTGGCCTGCTTTGACATCCTCTGAGTGCTCATGGTCCCCTTTCCACCTTCTTTCCCCCTTCTTTGAGCTTTTTCAACATTCTTTGAGCTTCTCTTGATCTTTGACCTTTGGCATTGAGCTGAGTTGCTGCGAAGCACAGCAGAGCCCCCTCAAAACATGAGGGAGAAACTGCCTCTCATGAAATGTAGGGGATGTAACACTGTTTGCTTTATATGGCTGTATTCACAGCTTCTGTGCTTGTTGCCTAGCTCCTCTATCTCCTGTGAAAATCACCTCTCAGACAGCAGTTATTGTCATGCTGACTCCCTGCACCCCTTTGGGATGCTGAGTTGGCAGGGTTAGCTGCTCTGGAACATCGACTCGGCTCTTTTCTCCATTTCTAAACCTGTTCCTTGGTGCGTCCCCGCAGAGAAGGGCAGCGGGATGAAGAAGGCTGGGAGGTCAGCCTGCTCTAAATGAAGCACTCAGCATAACAACGCACAGGGAAGTGCGAAGTAAACCTCTGAGGGCTTTTTTTGAGTGTGGTGTCATTTGTTTTTTTCAAGGACACTAAGTAGGAAGCCGGAGAAACAGAAACTTCCTCTCTGGTGAGATTTATGGCAGTGATTTAAGCAATAAAATGAAAAAGTGCACTTGTTGATTTCTTGGCATCTCTGCTCTCCACGTGGATTTTGCTGTGAGGTGAATGCAGCCCTTTCTGGGCCGTTGTTTGGGCCATGTCTTCCACCAAATGTGGGGGCCTGGTGCAGCTCTGCTGCAGAGGGAAGCTTTGGGGAGGGGGAGCAGAGCCAGCTCCTGGAAGAAGAATGGTGCCTGCTCAAAGGGGCCATGCAGCTGCTACTGGCTGCAGTGTCACACTGGCAGCACGAAGCCCTCTCTTACACTATTGGACCACCTGCAAGAGTGGAGCTGGGGAGCCCAGACCCAAATGTGGGGCATCCCCAAGAAAAGCCTCAATTCTGGTGGATGGAGGAAGTGGTGGATTTGGTCCAACCTGCTAGTGCTGTGCAGTGAAATCCCTTGCACTGCTGCTGTGGGCCAGAAGAAGTGAACCTAGGCACAGCAGGGAATTGTCCAGCCTTCCAGCAGCAGGCTATAGCTCCATGTGCTGCCACAATGGGACCTCGTGGCTTCTTGGCAGACTGAAGCTCTCCTCCTCCAAAGGCAGCTCTGTCTCCATCTTCTTGGCCCAGGGACCTGTCAGGAGGGATTAGAGCTGCTGCCGGAAAGCTGTGGTGGCACCATGATGGGCAGGAGGGCTGGAGATGTGCACACTGCTGGGCAGCAGGGAATTGGCAACCTCTTGGGAAGGCTGCAGGCAGGTGCCTTGATGCTTTGCGAGATCCCAAGTTTGGCAAGTCTGGGAAACGTCCTTCTGGGGGCAATACTGTAGGCAAGCCGATTGGCAAGTGGCAAAGTGGAATAAAGATGGGCCAGCCAGGGAAGGAGCAGATGTTGATCAGCAGTCCTCTGCAAAGCCTTGCTAGCCTTGTTCTGCTCTGCCCTGGAGACAGCTGTTGTGCCTCAGTGTCATCTCACCGCAGGAGCTGTGTGGTGGCAAAGGACAAAGCCACAAACCAAAATAGGTTCAATGTAGCTGGACAAAAGGAGTGTCTCTGCTGGCTGCATTACCTGATGACTCCTCCTGTGCTGCAGGGATGGAGGCTGAAGGGGCAGCTGGAGATAGTGGGAGGCATCCCTGGAGCCTCACCAGCATAATGTGAGGTGAAGAAGAATAAGCTCTGGTTTTATTCTGATCACTTGCTTAGTAGTTTTCCCCTCCCAGCTAAACTCCTCTGTGCCCTATTCTGCTGGTTTCTCACACCCCTGAGCCATTTATCTCTAGGGTATTGTCTAGATTTGCCCAGCTGCCTCTGTTCATCTCCTGCATTGGCCACAGATTTTCTTGCTCTTTTTGTGCCTCTGCTTCTGATATGCTGTCCTAAAGTGCTGGGACCTGGAAGTGGATTATTAGATGCAGCTGTTATACCCATGTAACGATGAAAACAGAGAGGATTGCTCCCACAGAATGAAAGTGCTGGGCTTGTAAAAGGGCTAGGAAATAGCTTACCCCAGAAGCATGTGAGTAATGAAAGTTTTATGGTGCCCAGCACAGTGGTGGAACAGCAGAGAAGAAGCTTCCATGAGAGAGGACAGCGCTGCACTGTGATTTAGGGCCTTCTGCTGGCTGGCTGCACTCTGCCTGCGGTCCTGTTTGAGCACTGTGCTCTGACATTTGCATGCTCATAAGCTTCCTTTACGAACCAGGCATGGAGAAGATCAGGAGCCAAGTGGTGTATATCCTTTCTCCAGGCTTTTTTTAACCTTCTTCCCTACTGCTCTGCCTCCTTCATTTCCAGCCCCAGCCCTGGTTTGATCTCAAGAGAAGTCCTCTGAGCCCAGACCATGGTGCCCCAGAGTGGCCTGCAAGCCAAGCAAACGTGAGCTCTTCAATCCTGAACGGAATGGCCCCTCAGAATCATGGAATATCCTGAGTTGGAAGGGACTCACGAGGAACATCAAACACATCTCTGGGATTCACACAGCACTGCTCAACTTTTAAACCCTGTGTCTGAGTGCTGTTCAAACAGCTCCGTTCCATGCCCACCGCCCTGTGGTGCAGGCCCTGTCCCTCACCCCGAGCTGCCCTCCCCTGACGCAGCTCCATGCCGTTCCCTCAGCCTTGTCGCTGTCACACAGAGCAGAGCTCAGCGCTGCCCTCCGCTCCCTGTGAGGAGCTGCAGCCGCCATCAGGCCTCCCCTCAGCTCCTCTGCTCTGGGCTGAGCAAACCAGGGACCTCATCCGCTTTCACACACCTTGCCTTCCAGGCCCTTCACTATCTTTGTTACACTGCTGCAGGGTAATGCAGCTCACAGTGTGAAATCCCAGCCCTCTTCACATTGCTGGGAGTTTTCACTGGGTCAGGAGTTTGCCCTTGATTTAGAAGCCAAGTTCTTGAAAAGAGGTATAGAGATTATATTTGCTTTCCAGCTTTAGGGATACACAGCCCAGAGAAATAAGCCGAAGCGTTCTCTGAAGGGTGCAGTTAGCATGGCACTCGGCTGCTGCCCCTGGACTGGGCTGAACTCTTCTACCCCAGCCCAAGGTGGAGCCGTGTGGCGATGGCAGGAGCTGGGACCGGCTATGGGCCCTCTAAGAGGACAGGTGCCGGTGTCTGGCCTGAGCTGTGAGGATGAGAGGCTGCCATAACAGTACTGCTCCTTTCCCTTCGGGGGACCAAAGAGAGTGGGGCAGAGAAAGGCTGGCGTCTGCTTTCCTTGTTATTTCTATTCATAAATAATCCCTTGTACTTGCACCCTGGACTCTGACAGCACTGAGAATGCACAAGGTTGGTGGTTTTTTTTTTTCCTCCTCCGAAAGTTATTCATTTGGCTAGCCCTTAAACAATAGGTTTTTGTCTAAATCGTCACCAGTGAGACTGTCAGGAGAGGCCCCTTCTCCCCCTCCTGCTCTCCTCCTTTTGTCTCCAGTCGAGGGGTCGGGATTCGCAGCCAAATGGAGGCGGTGGCCGCTTTTCCAGGCCCCAGATGCCAGCGCGTGGCAGCATCTGGCTGCTTGGCAGGCGTGGGGCAGCTGCCTGGCCTGGCCCTGCTGCCATGGCTGCTGTGGGCATGAGGGCTCCAACGGGGGGTTTGGGTGGCAACAACGCCTCCAAAGGGTCCGGGATCATCCGGCCGCCGTTGGACTCCCGGCCCTGCTTTTTGTCCTGCTCCACGGTGTCTCGTGTAACCTTACCTCCTTGTGCTGAGAGCGTTTCGGGTGCCTTAAGGCATGGAGCTCTTTGAAAGAGAAATACAAATCACTAGAAATGTAGAGATAAAACCCTCTCCTTGGAGGCCATGTGTTTGGCATGGGAAACGCATGATAACAGCTTGCTTTAGAAAGGTGACATTTCCACTGAAGGCTGAATAATAAAAAATGCATTCTAAAAGCTGAGCTTTCCTCTGTCTTCTGATATATTAGACTTTTGTAATGAAGACAGCTTCTGGGACCGGGGAATGCGCCGCTTACTTGAAATACATGTATGGGAGCTCTCCCTAGCCCTAATGGGTGTCACAAGTGGCTCGGGCTGCATTAATGTGGTGAGCTCTATTAAAGGGATTGTCGGGAGCTGTTCGCAAGCCGTGAATCAAAGCCGCCTTTCCCCAACTTTGTTTTAGCTCTGGCTCGCACGTGTAGGCAGACTTGCCTAAGGTTAAGTCTCTTTTAATATGAAAATGCATAGAAATATTCTGATATGATTTTTTTTCCCCCCTTTTAATTCAGAACATGCCGGTGAAGGACTCCAGAGGGATGGGGAAGGAGGAGGCAGCTGAAAGAGGCTCTGAGGGTCGCATGGAGTCTGCACTGCAGTGTTCTCGCAGGGAACCTTTCTGCTGACAGGCAGCTGCTCGGCTCTGCAGCCGCACAGTACGTGCCGCGCGCACGCACAAATGCCGGGACCGTGTTGACAAATGCCTCCTCAGTGCAAGATAGTTAAACCTGCTTGTTTAATCATTGGTGTTGTTTCATCCAGGGCTCTGAAACAATTACGCTGCTGCTTCACAATGTGATGCGTATGAAAGATGCAAATGTGAGACTTTCATGATGCCATTTAATTCAAAGACTTGTAGAGATGTACTACTATGGTTATTATTATTATTTTTTAATATATAT